ACAATAGCCTGTAATGTTGCCTTCCGAGTTACCATCATATGTCAATTTATAATCAATAGTGGCTTTTAAATATCTTAAGACTCTCTTCAGTGTAGTCCAATTCTCTGCAGTGGGTTGACCATTGTACCGACTTAATGAATTTACAATATATGTTATGTCAGGTCTTGTCCCTTGTGACAAATATAATAGCACCCAATAGCTTCTTGATAAGGTATGTTTCTCAATATTTCTTTCTCACTTTCGGCTTTCTTTAATTGAATATTTGGATCACATGGAGTCCAGACTGGCTTGCAGTCATCCATACCAAAACAAGTAAGTATCTTTTTAATATACATTGATTGATCCAGTGATATTTTATTTTGATCTTCGAGTGTTATTCTAAATCCAATACATTGTTTTGCTTTTCCCATGTTTTTCATACTAAAGTTATTTTTAAGCTTTTTCTTCGTTTCTTCGCTAGTTTTAGAATTATTATAAAATAAAAGTAGATCGTCGACATAAACAGAGATAAATAAAATATCATCTTTGTTCAATATACGAAAATAAACGCAGGGATCAAGTTTTGATCGTTTCATGCCAATTTCTAACAAAACGGAGTTTAACTTTTTGTTCCACTGTCTACTAGCTTGCTTGACACCATATATAGCTTTATTTAAATGGCATACTTTCTCTCCTCGATCAAAAGTAGGTGGTTGAGACATGTAAATATCTTCATTAACATCTCCTTGCAGAAATGCTGTAATGGCATCCATCTGATGTATTTCTAAATTGTATTTTGCAGCTATACCTATGAGATATCTAATCGACATGTTTCGTACAACAGGTGCGTATATTTCATTGTAATGTATTCCTTTTTTTTTTTTGCTTGTAACCTTTAATTACAAGTCTAGCCTTATAATGAGTGATTTCTCCAGTGTGATCAGATTTTCGTTTGAAAACCCATTTGCATGGAATAGCCTTCTTTCCATCAGGTAAAGCTACTAAAAACCAAGTATTATTGTGAATGAGGGACTCATACTCTTCTTTCATTGCCTGTTTCCATTTTTCAGATTCATTACTTTGAAGAGCTTCTTCTAAGCTGTGGGGATCATTGCTAAGAAGGCTTGATGTAGACTCACCATTCGTGCATATGTATAAAGATGAACCCTCATTATTTGTTTTCAACTTTCTTTGCCGACGGGTTTTAATACCTGTTTCATTTGCAGGCGATATGTCAACACTCTGACTTGGTAAGTATGTATCATCTAGTGGATCTTCATAATTTATTTATTTAAGCTTTATTGCACAAATTAAAATGTACAAATGGCGGACTTAATGCCATGGGGGCATTCTCTACCAGTCAACCGGAGAGTTGTAGCAGAGAGCTTAAAAAAAGGCGGTGCAACTATGAAACAGAGAGCCTGTATCTGTATTCTATAGTATCTGTGTTACTTGAAGTATCTGTGATACTATTACTCAGATTTTATTTGAAGATAACTGCTCTTCCTCATTAGAATTTTCATCATCTTGTGTAATTAATTCAGATTTTTGTTTGTCCAATGGTAAGTATATTTGAGTTAATTTTTGTTCTTTATTATTATTATTCCTTTCATTATTATTTTTATCTTTTAATTTTTGCATTTCGTGTACTTCTTGATTAATATTATTTATTTTTGTTTAAGGTGCTGAAAAAGAAGTTGATACTACTACTATATTATTTTTTGTGTTTTCTGCCAAAAATGTACATCCCGACTGATCACTGCTTTATTATTTTTCGGGTCTATAAAACGGTAGTCTTTTGTGCATTCACTGTTCCCAACAAAGATTAGCTGACGAGATTTCACATCTAATTTTTGGCGCTTCTCTTTGGGTATGTGCACCATAGCAGGACAACCAAATATTCTGATATTGCTCAAGTCTGGTTTTTGTCCGGTCCATACTTCATGAGGTGTAACATCTGACAAAGCATGTGTGGGCGAGCGGTTAATTATATATGCAGCAGTTGTTACAGCTTCAGCCCAATAATTCTTCGGTAAAACAGCATTAAGCATCATGCATTTTGCTCGTTCAACCAATGTCCGGTTCATTCTTTCGCTCAGACCATTCTGTTCTGGCGTGTATGGATTGGAAGTCTGATGTAATATTCCATTTTTCTTTAAATAATTAGCAAAGTTTTTATTAGTATATTCCAATCCATTATCGCTGCGTAAAATTTTAATCTTTTTATTTAACTCATTTTCTACTCGGTTTTTGTATTCAATAAATTTTTCAAACACTTCTGTTTTGCTTTTAATTATATATACATAGACTTTTTTTGAGAAATCATCAATAAAAGTTGTAAAATACCTGGCCCCGCTAATCGAAGCAACTTGTATCGGGCCACATATGTCTGTGTGGACTAGATCTAGCAAACCGTTTGCCCTGGAGCCGTTGCTTGGAAATGATTGCCTTGTTTGCTTACCCTCTAGGCAGCTTATACATACATACTTTTCTTTCTGTGATGATAGTTGTACACCAGTCGTGCAGTTAGGTAACTTGTGAACATCATTATAATTTAGATGGCCCAAACGTTGATGCCATAGATGTGTGATTGACTCTGCTTTTACTGACATGGCAAATATTTTATTGTAATTTATGTTCAGTTTATATGTGTCATTTATTAGATTTGCTGTGGCTACTTTATGATTATTTGAATTATATACTGAGCAGCTATTTTTATCAAATTCCACTTTACAACCAGATTTTATTATTTTACTAACTGATAATAAATTTGTGGACAACTTTGGCACATATAAAACATTCTTTACTAAAATTTCACTGCTGCTGCCAACTTTATTAGGTATGGGCAGTATCACATCACCACAGCTTTCGACATGTAAAGTTTTATTATCTGCAATTTTGATTGTGGATATCGGTGGTATTGTTTCATTCTCTAATAAATCTTTATGCATTGTCATATACATCGAAGCACCTGAATCTACATACCAGTTTATACAATCATTCAGTTGCATGGCCGAGAAAGCTGCCACAAAACCTTTATTATTTTCTTTACTCTGTGATTTATTTTTCAGAAACCAAAAATTTTTACCAAGGTGTCCGTATTTATTACAATTAAAACATCTTGGACCTTTTGACTTTGACTGATACTGAGCGTTTTTTAACTTAGCTGGAGTATTTTTAGTACTTGTGTACAGAGCTGAATTACTTGGTGTGGCTTTTATTTCTTGCAAAAGTTTAGTATTAATCAGATCTGCACTTATTTTTACTCCAGAGCTTTCAATACCCATAATCATAGGTTTGTATTCATCGGGTAAACCTGCTAGCATCAAGGTCCCGAGCCATTCATCGTCAACACTGAATCCAATATTTCTGAGCTTATGAGCTGAGCTCATGATTTTGTTAACATAATCCTCTACACTAGTGCTCGTTTCTAAATTAGTGTTAATCAAGTCTCGCAATAAACCAACTTTTCTCAGTAGACCAGAGTCTTGAAATGCTTTTGATAAATTTTCCCAAATCTGTTTTGACGTCGTCGCATCTTGTATGTGTATAAAATTTATCGGATCGACTAATAATATTAGTTTTGATTTTACCTTTTTTTCTTTCTTTGGATCAGTATCTGTTCCTTGGACACATTCCCATAAATCATCGAGTTCCAGGTATGCTTGCACTGCGAAACTGCAGCTTGTCCAATTATCTCGGCCAGTAAGTTTCTCAATTTGTATCAAAGATCCGTTTAAAATTTTTACTGTACTGTACACTAAACAGGCAGGGAGAGGCCCATAACCTGATAGAATAAGAAAAGATCAAGACTTTTAACTGTAGAAATCTATTTATTTTAACTCAATTAACAATGACATGACACTAAAAAATCAACCATAGAGGCAAGTGCCTATTTTTTTTTTATATTAACGCGCAAGTACGCGTCGGTGCGTATTGCTATTAAATTGTATTGGGCGAAGCGTATGTTTGCGTTTCTCCCAACATAACCAAGTCAAGACACCTTTCATTTATGTTTTTAACGTTATTATATTGTGACCAACTTGTGAAATTCAAAAACATATGCAACAGTAATACCAGTGGGTTAATATATGGGTTAAGTAAATACATACCAGAGTTATTTTCCTCACTCCAGGCGGCCTCTCGAATATTAAAATCTCCTACCAGGATATATTCGTTATCAGGCTCATTTGATGAAACTTCAGACATATGGTCAAAGAATAAATGTTCGGCTAATTCTTGGTTTGCGCTCTGTAGAAAATAACAGCAAAAAATACAAAATCTTTTATTATAATGTCCACTATTTAGAGCAAGATTAATACAAGTGATCTCGGTATCCACGAGAGAGGGCGTACTGAACGTATATCCACGGATAATCCCTGGCGGACAGCAATTAGTGTACCACCTCCCTTCTTAGAACCGTACCTATCATAATTTCTGTCTGTTCTATAAACATTGTAGTGACTATCGAATAATTCAGCATCAAAAAAATTAAATGTGTCGCGGACAATGAGTGGTACTATTTTTGTGGAATGACCAAATAGGCATTGATGTAAATATATTCTGCAGATGACTGCGCCACGATGGACTGTTTCTTTGAAAACCAAGAAATTAAATTGTTACAGTAATAAACTGCGCAACCACTTACACTCTTTATATCTTCCTTATCCTTTCCCCAATCTTCATCACTGTATGCTATCACTTTTTGTATATGTAAGACATTTGTCAGATGTATGTTTAAGATATCTCATTATACGTTTTGCTGCTTTCCAATGCTGTTTTGTTGGCTTATCGAGATATTTACTCAAATATGAGGTTGCATAAGTAATATCTAGTCCAGATGTGGTGGATATATATAATAAGCAACCTATTAGTTGTCTGTAAGGTTTTTTTTTTCTCGTGGGTAGTCAGTTAAGAAAGTCACAGTTTTGAACACCTCTTGATTAAAATTAAATATATAATTGTTTTTATACAATAGTTCACCTTTGATGATTGCTAATAGTAACTGACGCTAAGTAACACCCGCTGAAGTGTTATTATCCTTTTACTCCAGCAAATACTTGACATCTCAAGACAAGACATTTCTTCATAAGGCACAATGGAGCAACCGCTGCTTACACTATCTCAGCTGATGGAGACATTCCATAGCAGGATGAGTAATTTTGAAGCTCAATTGCAAAAGACTCAGAATGCACCTAACACCACCACCACCACCACCAACACTGTGTGTCTAGCTAGTGAATTTGCATCTTTCAAGTCCTTCACGTTGGAGTCATTAAATGCACTACGGTCACAAATCCATTGAGTTGCAAAGACAGTTGATCAAGTGGTAATGAATGGCCGAAGAAAGGTGTTAATGATTCATGGCATTCCTGAAGATACCTCTCAGCTTATGTCAAGGGTTGTTCTTGACAAATTAAAAGCTGATGGTTTTACAATCGGGGATATTAAAGACTCGTACAGGCTGCGTCAATCCAGTAACCACAATAAGCCTCGGCCTATTATTGCTAAATTTCAGTTGAATAGTACTCGAAACAGGATTTGGTCCAGCAAGTCAAAGCTGAAGAATACTGGTATAACTTTATCTGAATACTTGACGCATTCTCGTCGCACTGTATTCATGGCTGCCCGCGAAAAGTATGGAATCAATAGATGTTGGACTCGTGATGGCGTCATACCCGTGCTTGGCCTTAACAATACCCGGCATCGCATCACATACATGGAAGAGTTACATTCGATTGACTCCGAGCCTGCCAACTCTGTGGCTTCTCTGAAAACCGCACCCAAAACACGACGGATTGCAGCCACAAAGAATGTACACGATCTTGCATTCATTCATTTTCTTGTCTTTATATTTTGCAAATCCTTTAATTTTTTCCCTACTCTTAATTGTTTGTTATTATATTAATTTAGTTAACACTAGCGGGTGGTATATGGTGTACTCTTATACTCTTGGTGCACGGTAAAGACTGGAAAGAAGCCAATACGCAGAGACTTCATTACAACAAATGGCTAATTGGCTTTCCGATAATCAACTAACACTGAATTCAGAAAAAACTCAGGTACTTTCCTTCTCCATTACACTGGCTGGCGCCACACCACCCGAAGACTCTAAGTTCGCAATTCACACCTGCAACTCCTCGACACCCAACTGCGGATGCCCTTCACTTCGCACTGTGCATAGTGTAAAATATCTTGGTATTCATATCGACAGCAATTTAAAATGGCACCCCAAATAGAAGCCTTGAAAACAAGAGTGAGAAAATTAATTTATGTATTCAAAATATTACGACATTTAACTGAACCCGAAGTAGTAAAAACTGTGTACTTGTCACTATGCCAATCACTTCTTACACACTGTATCCCAGTGTGGGGTGGAGCAGGTAGTACCGCTATGTTGAAGTTGGAGAGAGCTCAAAGAGCTATCCTAAAAGTGATGATATCTAAAAGAGCTATCCTAAGATGACTCTTAAACATATCCGACATCCTACTAACATTTTATATTCCGAATGTCAGGTTTTAACTGTCCGGCAACTCTTTATTTTGCGCTGTATTTTGCGGAGACACACCGTTTTCCCCTTAGATTTGAATACCTTCTCGCGTAAACGCGCTTCTGCTCAAGTTTACCGTTCAATACCATGTAAAACTGCTTTCGCTAAACGACAATTTGACGCATTCTCTACGGTATCATATAATAAATTGTATAAGTTAACATCCATTTACTGCCTGAACAGGTATGAAGCAAAAAACAAAATTACCAGCTACCTTCTCAAACTCACCTATACAAAAACAGAAAACCTTTTTGTATTAATGGATGAAAAAGGTAAAATATGAAATATTTAAAATAATAAAACTTAAATAAATAAACATAACATTGCTTACCACTAATTCATTTAAATATTAAATTCTTTATTCACGCACATAGGTACTCACTCAACTATAGCACACAAAAAACCTAAACACAGGCTTATCCACGCACACAATACATACCACACCAAACACACATAAACACATTCACTCACACACAAAAACACACACTTCTAAAGTTTTTAAGACCTTTACCCTGCTTTTCTTAAGTTTTTCAGTACGAAGCGGTCTCAATTCACATTCCTTTATAAACAACTTACTGAGGAATCGCTGGCCCTGATAAAACAGATTCTCTAGTTTCGGGGTCAGAGATCTATAACCTGAAGCAATATGTATAAAACCTAAATTAAGCATTTGCCCTGTACTTAATAATAATATAAACAACTGTATGAAAAATTTTGGGTTTGAGAGAATAAATAAATTTTATTATTTTTATAATATTATTTATTTTCATATTTAAGTACTTATGTTATATTCTGATGATGATAATTCTTCTGATAATTTTTTATCAGCATGTAGTAGCGTAAATGATAGTTTTGCAAGTATTTCTGCTTTATCCGACTCACTCAGTTTTTGTTTCTCTGATGTATCAAAAAATTTCAATGTTGTCCATATAAATGCATTCCGGTTGATATGTCACCTCAGCCACCGCCACAGAATGCTGGTGAACACCTCTTCTTGGAGATTAGCATGTGCCATACTAAAGCACTTCTCGGTGTGTATTACTGTCCCTCTTCTCGTGTAAACTATTTTTCTTCTCTTGATAATATATTGGAGTCCCTTTGTCCTTCTTACAGTCATACTATTATCATGGGTGACTTTAACACTTGTCTTCTTAAAAATGCAGTTCAGCAGCTTTTCATTCGATTCTTCAATCTAATAATTTATTCTTACCTTCTTTTGTTAACTAAAACCTCACTTTCAATCATCAAACTATTTATTCACTAATTTGCATACATCACACATAGCTATCAATAATCACAACACTTTATTTTATAATTTACACTAGTTGTCACAGCGCGAGCGGAACTAAGACTGCCATGCTTAGGTCGGTTGCTTGCTTATATAGTGGCCATCTTGCACGTGAACGTCATTGTGCGCCGCAAGATGGCGTCACCGGCGTCAACTTCCGGTCAATTAATGTTGATTTCATTAAGTTGCCAACACGGCCATTCTGCAAGGCGTTTGCCCCAGACGCCACAATTTTATGGAATATACTGAAACTGAAAATATGAAATTAAATATGAAATAATGTAAATGTCGCACGTATAATGTTCAGTCTTCTTAACATGTTCACATACTGATCGCAAACAGAATATTTTGAAACTGAAGACCACTCGCACTTAAAGGGACTTTTCCTCACTTAAGAGACCAAGTTCGTCTTTGTTTCCATGACGACTAAACTGAAGACCACTTGCACTTAAAGGGAATTTACCACACTTAAGAGACCAAGTTCGTCTTTGTTTCCATGACGACTAAACTGAAGACCACTTGCACTTAAAGGGAATTTACCACACTTAAGGGACCAAGTTAGTCTTAGTTTTTGCAACCACTCGCACTCAAAGGGCAATAACCTCACTTAAGCATACCGAGTTGGTTAAACACGTCCTACCTCACTTATATACGAGTCAGTATGTTTACACGCATGAACTATATTTAGGTAACTTATTTATTTACCTTGGAATACCGACGGTTTTAGGTATTTTTAATTTCTATTTATTAAAATAACAAGTCAGTTACAGGAAATATTTAAAAGTTATATGTTATTATTAGTAGTTTAACATATACTTAATAAAGGTGTAAGGTAATGCGGTCATATTGTTACTAATATCACACATAAGTAACTGTTTCCACATTTGTTTGTCTGTTAGAAAACTACTTGCACTTAAAGGGACTCTACCGCTCTTAAGAGACCAAGTTAGTCTTCCACCCTGCACAATAGAGCCACTTGCACTCAAAGGGATATATACCCACTTGAGCGTACCAAGTTCACTCACAATTATGCCTATGTACCTTTCAATATGTTTACAACAATTATTAATGTGTGACATAAATATAAGTTAAAGCATTTTATCTTGACTCGCAAACCTTACGTGTATACTCGTATTACTTTATAAACCAAATTGTTATGCCTGATGTAATATTTTACTTGTATACATAATTTTTTTTTTATGTGTTCTATTTTTAATAAACTATGAATTAGGTAAGATACTAAAAACAGTATATTAAGGTGTTTACCTTGCCAACACGAATATCTATTATATACATAATATAATCACGTAATTATTCAGATTCATTCCAGTTGTCTATTTTAATCCACGGCTTCATATTTTCAGCCACTATCACGCCAGTATACTTTTTAAAGGATCTTTCACTTCCTTTAAGATCCGTTACCTCATATCTGTCATTTCCCACAAGTTTTTTGACTTTGAATGGACCCAAGTGGTCTAAATGAAGTGTATGAAAAGGTTGAGCATATTTTGGCATTGGAAATAATTCGCCTTCCTTGGCACCCCCTTTGTTTTTGAAGTATATACAATTTAAACAATTTTTTATGTACTTTTTTATAAAACGACGCATGTGGGGAAACCAGTAAAACTTTGATATTCTTTCTACAGTTTTGTCTACAGAAAAATGTCCAATGTCATCATGGTTGTATTTAATTATTTGCCAAATACATTTTTTTGGTACCGACCATCGACGACCCTTTGCTGTTCTTCTGTAAACTTTTGACCCAAGCAATTCGTATTTGTCAAATACATCTCTATTTTGGTCGGCCTCTCCCGATTCTAAAATTGATTTTAATTGTTGAATTTTAGAGTCTTGTGTTTGCACTAACAGCAACCAATCTGCTTCAGTAATGGACATAATGATTTCAACTTCAGACTTTTCCCCCCGAAACTACAGGATTTCGACTTAATGCATCAACATGCAGCATACGTGTACCTGCTCTATGGACAATTTCAAATAAAAATTCTTGTGTAGCTAATACCCATCGAGCTATGCGTGGGACAATATCTTTTTTTAGTGAGCGCATATCGTACAGCACTGCAGTCAGTTACGATTTTAAAATTTGAACCTAACAGATATAGGCGGAATTTTTGGAGCGAACAAATAATTGCCAACAGTTCTAATTCAAATGAATGGTATAATTTTTCATTTTCGGTAGTTTGCCTACTATAATAATGGACTGGTTTTTCTCCCTCATTTGTAATTTGCATAAGTATTCCTGCAATACCCTCTCGACTAGCATCAGTGTATAAAACACTATCTCTATTGGGATCAAAAATAGACAGGAAATTATCTGATGTTAATTTATTTTTTAACGATTGAAATGTCTCTTCTTGTTTGTCTTCCCAAGCCCAGGTAGTATCCTTCTTTAACAGTTTTGTCAAAGGCACCAAAATCATTGCGCGATTTTTAATAAATTTCCGAAAATAGCTTATTAGACCAATGAACTGTCGAAGTTGGTGTACTGTTTTGGGTCTTGGAAACTGCCTAACTGATTCTAATTTCGCTTCATTTGGCATAATTTTCCCAGACTTTACTCGATAACCTAAGAACTCTATTTCACTTTTGAAGAAATGACACTTTTTTTAGATTCAGAGTCAAACCATTCATCCTAAAAATTTGCAATATCTGTTCTAATAACTTCAAATTTTCTTCCACCGTATTTGTTACAAGATAAATATCATCTAAATAACTATTACATTGTTAAACCTTAAATTACCTAAAACTTTATTCATCATATATTGAAAACAAGATGGTGCATTAACGTAACCAAAGGGGAGTCTGAGAAACTCATAATGGCCATCTTCCGTGATGAATGCAGTTTTGGGTATTGAATTCTCGTTCATTAATATTATAACCACTTTTTAAATCAAGACTTGAAAAACATTTGTGACCAGAAAGTCTATCAATAAGGTCATCAATACGTGGCATAGGGTACTTATCCTTAGTAGTTATTTTGTTTAATAACCGATAGTCTATACAAAGTCTTTTTTCTCCATATTTTTTTGTTACAAGAAGTGCGGGGCTCGCATAAGACGATCTACTTTCGCGTATGATGTTATTTTCTAAAAGTT